ACATAGAAATGATGACGGTGTAGGGATGGCAAAGTTATAAATCTGTACATAATTTTTGGGATAAGAGCTGAGCACTGTTAAAATATTTATTACTTTAGACATCTTAGTTCCCTTCTTGGGAAATGTACCTAATGAAATTATCAGAAACTTGGACAAAATGTATTCAAAAATATATTCACTGAAGTATTATTTATAATAATGAAAACTTAGGGAACGGTATGATGGGTTGGAACCTATTTTAAATTAGAGTATTATATGCACATTAAAATGATGTTTACTTATGTAATGTCACAAAGAAATGTCACAATTTGCTGTTAAACAAGCAAAACCACAATGAAACTTTTCAATCTTTTTTTATAACAACCACGTAAACAAACTAACCTTGTTAACAATCATGCATTTAGTTGCCTCCTAGTAATTATGGCAACTGGTGGTATTTTTCCCACTTTAAACTTTTCTATAGTTTTCACTCTTCTATAATGAGCACGTATTACCCTGATAATTAAAACGATAATAAAAAATAAAATTAAAAGCTTTAACTAAATTGAGTGAAAAGTGGTGACTCAAGCCACCCAAGCTTGTAAGCTACATCCCTAGCTAAAATAAAAGGGAAGGGGCCTTGAGTGAAAGCATGCACTGGTGAGATTCTTATTAACTTAGCTTATACCCAAATTCTGCTTTATAAATGCATTTATTTTCAAAATGTAAAAATTATAGCAAATAAATCATGTTAAAGACTACAAGTGAGATTCGGTTGGCAGCAATGTCATCACAGTGAAGGTTTCTTTAGCACGGAGCCTATTACACTTCCCAATTGACTATCCAAAATAAAAGCTACCTCCAAAGGATTAACCTATACAAACAGTGCCTTTCTGGGTTCTTGTTACAGCAACAGCAGAGCTCACCAAGGAACAAATTACACTTACTTGCCTCTTTTACTGTGCAAATTGAAAGAGATACTTGAGGTCTTTAATTCCACCTAGCCTAAATCCTGACATGAATAACTATCACTGGCCACCAAAAAATAACCAATCAGAATGCTCCTATATTTAAGTATCAACAAAGGAAGCTGAACCTAAAAATGTAGGAATCAAAGAGAATTCATAAAAAGAAAAGCAGAAAGCACATGACACTCTTCTTATGACTTCAAAACACGTATTTACTACTCACATACTAGGGGAGATTCCTGTTTAAATCTCTTGCATATTTCAAGCATGATTTCATTTAAGCAAAATTCCCCTGCCATAGCTTATTTTCCCCAGAATTGCTCATAATTTTTTAAGAAATAATGTTTATTCATTTCTCTCAATGTCTTAGTGACAAGACACTCCAAACCACATTGCTATTACCAAAAATGTCTCAAATATTATCACTTTATATCCAAACTTTCCCCCTGCATCTTCCTCAATCCCTCGATGGTAGCAATACCTAATTGGTGTGTATCAATAAGACACCGGCTGGGTGTGGTGGTTCATGCTTGTAATCCTAGCACTTTAGGAGGTCGAGGTGGGTGGATCACGAGTTCAGGAGTTCGAGATGAGCCTGACTGACATGGTGAAACCCCGTCTCTACTAAAAATACAAAAAGTAGCCAGGCATGGTGACTACTCAGCTACTCAGGAGGCTGAGGCAGGAGAATTGCTTGAACCCACGGGGTGGAGGTTGCATTGAGCCAAGATTGGGCCATTGAACTCCAGCCTGGGTGACAGAGTAAGATTCTGTCTCAAAAAAAAAAAAAAAAAAAAAAAAAAAAAAAAAAAAAAAAGACACCAGTAAACTTGTTCTTGGGTTTGGAGAATTCTTAATAAAAATTCCAAGAAACAGTAATTTCAAGGAAGTTTATGAAGTTAAGGGGTAAGTTTCAGTTTATAGATAATTACTGTCAAAGAACATGCTCTCCATGTTTTTTCCTTTCAATTTATAGTTATTTTATTTTCTCATACCAAAAACGATGGAAAAATAAAGAAACTGCCTTTTTCCTTAGAGTTCTTATAAAATATTTCAATTTCCTTAAACTTCCTTACTTATTCCACTGTTCATCTTGATCTATTATACATGCTATCGGAGGTGTATCTGAGGGTGTTAATTAGAATTATATCTGAGGGTACTAATTAGATATTATAACTGAAAGTGAAAATGAAATGTATATATTCACTTTACCATAAGAAGCCAGATGCTTGAATTTATTTCTGTGGCTTTAAAGTCCCATGTCACAAAGTTTCAGTGAATGACAGACCACATATACAATGAGGGTTGTCCCATAAAATTATAATGGAGCTGAAAAATTTCCTAGCACCTGGTGATTTTGTACATGTCTGTATATTCCGTTCTTGCATTGTTATAAAAAAAAAAAAAAAAAAAAAAACTACCTGAGACTGGGTAATTTATAAAGAAAAAAATGTCTAACTGACTCACAGTTCTGCAGGCTATACAGAAAGCATGGCTGGCGAGGCCTCAGGAAACAAAGTCATGGCAGAGGGTGAAGGGGAAGCAGGCATGTCTCACATGGTCAGAGCAGGAAGAAGAGAGAGCAGTGGGGGGGCGCTACAAACTTTGAAACAACCAAATCTCATGAGAACTCACTATCAGGAGAACAGCAAGGGGAAACTTTGTCCCCATGAGCCAATTACCTCCCACTAGGCCCCTCCGCCAACAATGGAGACACAAATCCAAACCATATCAATGCCTTAATGTTGTAACACAATGCATTGCTCACATGTTTATGGTAATGCTAGTGGAAACTTACTGCACTGCTAGTCATATAAAAGTATAACATAAAATTATGCATAGTACATAATACTTGATAATAACTGTTACTGGTTTATGTATTTATTATACTATATCATTATTTTATGATATACTCATTTTACTTATATTTTCTTAGAAGTTAACTGTAAAACAGCCTCAGGCAGGTCCTTCTGGAGATATTCCAGAAGAGGACATTGACATCACAGGAGATAACAGTTTCATGTGTGTTACTGCCCCTGGACACATTCCAGGGAGACAAGATGTGGAGGAGGAAGACACTGATGTTGATGATCCTGACTCTGTGTAGACCTAGGCTAAGTGTGTGTTTATGTCTTAGTTTTTTAAAAGCAAAAACTAAACATTTTTAAAAATAGAAAAAATCTTATAGAATAAGGATGTAAAGAAAAATATTTTTGTACAGCTGCACAATATGTTTGGTTTTATGTTGTGTTATTACAAAAGTCAAAAAGTTAAAGAAAATATTTTTTTCTTAAATTTAAAAAGTTACAACAATCTAAGGTTAATTTATTATTGAAAAAAGAAAAATATTTTTTAAAATTTAGCATGACCTAATTGTACAGTGTTTATAAAGTCTACAGTAGCGTAATGTAATGTCCAAGGTTTTCACATTCACCCACCACTCACTCACTGAATCAACCAGAGAAACTTCCAATATTGTAAACTTTATTCATCCTAAGTGTCCTATGCAGATATATCACTTTTTATCTTTTATACTGCATTTTTACTATATCTTTTCTATGTTTAGATACACAAACACTTATCACTGTGTTACAATTGCCTACAGTATTCAGTACAGTAACATGCTGTACAGGTTTGTAGCTTAGGATCAACTGGCTATACCATATAGACTAGGCATGTATAGGCTATACCATCTGGGTTTGTGTCAGTACAGCCTAGGATGTCCTCACAACAGAATTGTCTAACGATATATTTCTTAGAACATATCTCAATCATTAACTTTTATACCTTACTATATTTTGTTTAGTTATGGAGACTGAACTTGATCTTACATTGTTTTAAAATACTTCTCAAAAGTCTCAGTCATTTAAAAAATTTAATCTGCATTATCTTCTCATATATTTAGATTAGTAAATTCATTTAGAAATTAGATAGTTTGATTACATTTATTATTTATTTATTTATTTTTTTTCGAGACAGAGTTTTGCTCTGTCGCCAGGCGTCAGGCTGAAGTGCAATGGCGCGATCTCGGCTCACTGCAACCTCTGCCTCCCGGGTTCAAGCAATTTTCCTGTCTCAGCCTCCTGAGTAGCTGGGACTACAGCCGCGCGCCACTATGCCCAGCTAATTTTTGTATTTTTAGTAGAGACAGGGCTTCATCATGTTGGCCAGGATGGTCTTGATCTCTTGACCTCTTGATCCACCCGCCTCAGCCTACCAAAGTGTTGGGATTACAGGCTTGAGCCAACGCAGCCGGCCTATTATTTAATTTTAAGCACCCAAGTTCTTTCTAAATTAACCCAGTAATATACAGATAATGATATGCACAATTCTTTCATTTTCTATATTGACAAAGTATGACTCAGAGGCCAACCCTCATCTGCCGCCTGTTTTTGTAAATAGTTCTGTTGAGACACAGCCATGCCCATACACACTGATGGCTGTTCTTAAGCAATAGGGCACAGATGACTAGTTAGGACAGTGATCATTTGACTCACAAAGTCTATAATATTTACTAAATGTCTCTTTTCAGAAAAAAACTTCTGTGCAATATTCTGTGCCCTCAAATATATGCTTTAAGCATGCAATAACAAATTGTATATTTTTTAAACCAAGATGCTCATTTAAAAAATTCTGAGTATATATAACTTCACCTGTTTTGCCACATCTTCCTTATTAGGAATTACACTATTATGTAAAAATGTCTACATTATATGATACAATTTTTAAAATTTTACTCACAGCCAGGCATAGTGTTTCAAACCTGTAATCTCAGCACTTTGGGAGGCCAAGACGGGTGGATCACTAGGTCAGGAGTTCAAGACCAGCCTGGCCAAGATGGTGAAACCTTGTCACTACCAAAAATACAGACAATTAGCTGGGCGTGGTGGTGCATGCCTGTAATCCCAGCTACTTGGGAGGCTGAGGCAGAGAACTGCTTGAACCTGGGAGTCGCAGGTTGCAGTGAGCTGAGATTGCACCTCTGCATTCCAGCCTGGGTGACAGAGTGACACTTCATCTCAAACGAACAAACAAACAAGAACCTTTACTTACACGATCTTGTATGGGCTGGCTAACTGCTAACATTGATTTCTGTGCTCCGTGTGATGTCACCAGCATGGAACATGATGGAACATTGCTCCAAAGAGCCACGTAGCCATATATTGGAATGGATTCTGTAAGAGTCAAAGGTAGGGATAAGAGGATTAATAATTATGTATTGAGAAATCCTCCCTTCCTCAGATTTATAGTTACCCACATACCTGATCATGCTATAAAAAGAAACAGGAAGACTCGTATGGAGAAAACTCCATAAGTCAAAACTGAACTTCTTGGAGAAATCTTTTCTATAATCCTCAGAGTCCCCCATAATTTAACTCATGTCCTTGCTATCTACAGCTACATCATTTTGGAGAAAAAATTATCATATATCATTTTTAAAGCCTATAATGTTTCATATAGCTCTCTAGTAAATGTCTTTCCCTTTGCCACGAAATAGCACAAAACACATGTGATGTCAAATGTGTTTGCATGTTTGATATCAAGTTATTGACCAAGTCTGAAGAAGGTGTTGAAAATAAGTTGTAAACATCTATTCCAAAAGTGAAATGGCAATGTCTCCACTCAGATATGAAGTAGTCAAACACAACATCATAATATAGTATAGTATTTTAAGGTATATGTAATTTTGATGAGGTATAAATATGTGAACAGATTATATGATTGGAAAACCTAAAAATAATATAACTTCTATGTTTTTTATAAAGATAGTCCAACTTATTATGCCATTTAGAAAAGTAAAGTAGAGGCCAGGTGCATTGGCTCACATCTGTAACCCCAGCACTTTGAGAGGCCAAGACAGGCGGATTATGAGGTCAGGAGTTCAAGAGAAGCCTAGCCAACATAGTGAAACCCCGTCTCTACTAAAAAAAAAAAAAAAAAAGTTAGCCAGGCATGCTAATGGGCACCTGTAATCCCAGCTACTCTGGAGGCTAAGGCAGGAGAATCACTTGAACATGGGAGGCCGAGGTTGCAGTGAGCTGAGATCATGCCACTGCACTCCAGCTTGGGCGACAGTGTGAGACTCTATCTCGAAAAAAAAAAATTTAAATAGTATAATTTTTATTTTATAAAATAAATTAAGAAACATCTTAACCAAATTTCAGTGTGATCCAAGAATCCTTATGAAGCTCTGTGTTGAAGGAAAAGATTAAGGTTTTTGAGAAAAACTTACATTCAATTTAGAGGTTGATCATAGACCCATACTGCCATCAACCTTAGAATTGTTGCTTCCTTTTTGCTTTCTTCTCTGCATCATGTTTGTATAATACCCACCACCTTAAATTTGATTTCACTTCTCATTTCATTATCTTAAAAGAACATTTTCTTTTTCTTGGATATATTTTCCATCCTTTTTATGAACTTTCATCAATTCTACCAGGCACACTTAAGAGAGGCCCATTCCCTGAGCCCTTTTCCCTCTCCTACCAGGAAACAAGTTTCCATCAATATCAACCACAAGTGATGAATTCTGCAGGCATATGAGAATGAAATTCACAAATATCCTCAAAGACATAGGATGGGCATTTAGACCCATCTGATTCACAAATGGAAGGTCCCTGAGAAATTGCTATCCCTGTTTATCTACACCTGTTTGCTTCCTGATCTTCTAAAAGGAAAATAAATAAGAGCTCCTAAGAATGTGCTTTAAAGCCAGTTATGCTCCTCTCTTTTTTACATTGCATGCCAGCATATTCCTTCAATTTTATCAATATGGGCCAATGTTCCTAGAAAGATAGTTAGCTTCTTCAGCAAACACCTAACAAGAGGTAACCAAAATATTAAAAAAAATAAAAAGCTCTAATTCAGCTCTTATGCGATTTCTCCCCAAGAGTCTGCCCCAAGTTAAGTAACATATACTTGAAAGCCCTATAACAATGCACTTTTTCCCATAACTTCAGAGCCATAATATTAAAAATTAGGGCTTATCTATCCACATCATTGGCTTCTGTATTGCCAAGTATGTGTCTGGAAAAACTTATGTCTGACCTTGGAATTTAATTAGCACATACTGAAATGGAAATAGATGCAAAGAATGTTATAAACTCTAAAGAACTTTCAGCTCAGCATTCATATTTCATGCAGTAAGAAATCGAGTCCCAGGGACCAAGTGACTTGCTCTGACCAGCAAGACTATCTAGGAACTGATAAGCATTTCCTTTAAAAATGTGAAGATGCTATACAGCTTTGTAGTGAACAATGAAATTCATTGTTCCAGCTGACAAGTCATAGCTGAGTCCCTCCCGAGAAATGCTGTCAATGAAAGAAAACTATCTAGCTTTCTTTGTCAGGTAATGGCTTTTTCTTCCAGGAATCTGGCCTGTTTCCAGAGTTGGAACATCTCCAAAGGGCCATCCTGCCTCTAGAGGACTCCCCAGGGATCCAGTGAGGCCACCGTTGCAACTTCATCATAGTCCAGCTTCTTCCTCTGCCCACCCTGTTTCGATCCCCTCACTTCCATCATCAGGTGTTGTTCTTTAGAAGATGCCCCAGTAAACCTCTCATATGTACATTTCTATCTCAGAGTCAGCTTCCCAGAAACCCGACCTGAAACAATGGTGTATTCTGTTACTTGAGAAAATGTAAGGTTGGAAAACACTTGGATTACATAGAAGCAGATTATTGCAAGACTTGTTTTAATATGACAGTGTGCACTATGAAGCATCAACAAATACCCAGAGTTAACCAAAGTTATTTAACTATAGAGCCCTTTTGCATATTGAACATATCATGAGATTTGTGTTCTGTGGAATATGGTCTGGGAAACAGAAATGCAGTCACTCTAGCTCATTTTAGAATATAAGTGCTGAAATTACCCATGTCAATATTTCCTGTAATAGCAAAAGAATGGAAACAACCTAAATGTCCATCAGTAGGGGACTGCTTAAGTAAATTATAATACATCCATAAAATGTAATATTATGCATCAGTAGAAAAAAATGAGAATTTTGTAAGCACTAGCATGAAAATGTATCCAAGGTATATTTTTTAAGTAAAAAGAACAAGATTACTCAACAGTGTGTATTTGTTTTCAGAAAGGGGGATGATTAAATATATATGTGCATTTTTTTTGTGTCTGAGCAAAACATTTGTAAGGACATACACTAGAAAATGACAACACTGGTTACGTCTATAGAAGGAAATTAGAAAGCGCTTGAAACTTTTGTGGTTCAAACCATGGGGATACATTATCTAGTCATAAAATTAAAATCAAAACATGACAAAATATTATATAGCACATAGTTAAATACTGTCTAATCATATATGAGGAAAATCTGGGAAAAAACTACAACACTCTATAAAGTTGCTTGAAGTTACTCCTTGAAGACAAAATTCATTTAGAATGCCCAAAGCGTGCCACAGTTTCTGAACCCAAGGAAGCGGTAAATAATTTACTTAATTGAATCCTATTACTTCCAATACCCAAGCAATTTAAGATAACATCCCTGCTGTTGTTGTTTTTGTTTTTGTTTTTACAATGTCTGAGAAACTCTAGAAATGGAGAAAAACTAGATCTTACATGAATATACTTTCCTGGACTGGGCTTCCTGTTATTAGTCTGTAGTTAGTAACATTTTAAAAGTCTCCAGACCTATGTTGTTGATCAGTAGCCATTAACCACATGTGCCTATTTAAATTTAACTGTAAATTAATTAAAATAAAACTAGAAATTCACTTTCTTACTTGAGCCAGATACACTGCAAATATTTGAAAACCACATGTGGTAAATGGCTACCACGTTGAAAACAGAAGACATAGAACATATTCACTACAGAAAGCTCTGTGGGAAAGGATATATCCAGGTATAGACTGGTTTCAGACAGATCTGGGTTCAAAATCTGAATTAGCCTCATCCTAACTGTAAGGTTTGGGACAAGTTAATTTCTCAGGGTCTCATTTTTTTGTGTGTTTTTGAGACGGAGTCTTACTCTGTAACCCAGGCTGGAGTACATTAGCACAATCTCTGTTCAATGCAACCTCCACCTCCCAGGTTCAAGCGATTCTTGTGCCTCAGCATCCTGAGTAGCTGGGATTACAGGCATGTGCCACCGCGCTCAGAAAATTTTTGTATTTTTAGTAGAGACGAGGTTTCACAATGTTGGCTAGGCTGGTCTCAAACTCCTGACCTCAAGTGGTACACCCACCTTGGCCTCCTAAAGTGCTGGGATTACAGGCATGAGCCACCGTACCTAGTCTCAAGGGCCTTGCTTTTTTCATCTGTAGAATGGGGAAAATGGTAATACCTACCTCAGAGGGTAATTGTGAGGTGTCAGTGAACTCATTCATAAAAGCTGCATAGAACAGGCCTTCACACTCAAAAATGTTATCTTCACACTCAAAAATGTTACCTCTTATTAGCAATTATCCATCACTGTGAATGTCACAGCTCTCCACCAACCAGTCATGTCATCCATCACAACTATCCTATTTACCCTTCTCACAGGAAGATGAGAAGTATCCACTAGCATCCTTATAGCCTAGTTCATTAAAGTGCAAGTTTGCAATTTATAAATCTTGCACTGATTTCTTTTTCAGGAAAGTCTTGCTATGAGAAAAAAAGTTACGTGAACTAATCCTGTGTCAGTGATGTGACTAGTTTATATTCTGGTATAAGCTCTTTATCAGGCCAAATACTAGGAACAAACATTTTTCTATTTGGATTATAATGGTCTTGCTGGGAAGACAAACTCCTTGATATGATTTGAAAACTTTCACAAAAAGGAAGGCTGTCATATTTTGCCATGGAAGAGGAAAAGCCTAGTACAGCAGCATTGAAGGGTCAGAGACAAACTGGGATAGTCAAAGTGAGGTTTCTACAGCTGGTAAACTTGAGTGAGGTTTTGAAAATATAAAAACCATGATGAGAAAAGACAAGTGAAGAAGAATGATAAAGGAATAATACCAAGAGAAAGAAAAGTATAGGAAGGGAAAAAAGTCTTATAGCTTTAGCCCTTCAAAATTAACAAAAGATTTTCCTTTCATTCCATAGGCCAAGCTATTCCTTTTTACTTGTAGCTTCCAACAACAGAACTTGTTAGGCCTGAATTTAGTAGTGACCAATTTTGGCCTCCCCAATACTTCTACTATATAGTAGAAGTTATATTTTATTTATATT